AAGACCTTAACGCTCACCATGAGCGGCTTAGGTCGGGGGAAGTCATCCGTTACTGGCGGTGGCGTCATAGACGCAAACGATGCAGAAATCTTCGGCTGCAGGTGCTCTAGCAGCGCGTTTTCGTAACTTGAAAGCGGGCCTTGTGCTACAAGATGTTGCACGCCCTTAGGGCCAAGCAGGGACATCAGCCTGTTAAGCCCTTCCTGCATGCCCTAGGGCAAAGAGGAAAAATCCTCCATCCTCACAGAGGGTCAGTCTAAACGACTCAGGAGTAGATTGACTACAATTGCTACCAAGTGCAGCGGGGCTGCCACTGCAAAACGCTTGGGAAGCGTTATTTAGGTTACCGACCTTTCGTTCTTTACAAGAACCAAGTATGAGTTAGCGGATCGCAATCCGCTTACTCCAAGAGTGATTGTTGGCTTCCCAAGGCTAATCGACTCTTCGGCTTAAATTCCAAACTGATTTTTATCCCAATGTTAAAAGTTTTGATTTTCCGAAATATACTGAATAGATGGTAAAATTAAAATTTATCCATAACCTAGCTTTGTACCGTTTTCTTGTTTGGGTGTGTGGTCACATCATGCACATCTCGTGTGACACACATTAGAGTTTGTGTAACCCCGTTACAGTATTGGTGAGCTCCACTCGACTTGCTCTTGAGTATCCACCAATTATAAATAAAGTCTAGCAATTGTACCGTGCAATAAGAAGCTTACGAGGCGGCCATATCATCTGACGCGGCAATGTTGGACCGACCGCGGCCGCCGGCCTCGGCCTTGTGGTTGTTATTTGAGCTGCCCATGTCTCAAATAAAGTCGTCATTGAGGATATGGAGTATCAGTTTTGTGGTAAAATTTGCGTTCAATTGATCGATGAATACCATGTAATGAAAGCCCCATACTTTGGATTCTCTACTAAGTTAAATATGACATGGCTTACACGACCTAAAAAGGGGTGTCGTTCTTAGACAAATCTAATATGTTAAATACAACCCAAGTGAAAGAGCTCTTTAGATTGAAATGAGAAAAATTATCCGATTAATATTTCTGGAAGAATCGGTCAGGTCCCAAATTATATGCGAGCAATAATTGAATTAAGAAAAAAAACTAAGAGTGACTCTAAATGGTTATGAGTCAGCAAGTCCTTAGTTTTTAAAGCTGTTGAAAATGTCATGAAGATATTCTTTGATGAAAATGTCATGAAGATATTCTTTGATGAAAATGTATAATGTTCAAAAAGCAAAACTCTCAATTACCTCATGTTATCTGATACCCGGAAAATAAACGCTCCTGTGGAATACAAATTAATATCGAGCATTTATTGGACTCCAAGAGTTACTAACAAGAAGACAGTCTAATGCGATTTTAAAGAGAAAAATGAAACTCCCTATCCTTAAAGTAATTGCTGGGTTCACACAAATCGCACGAGAAAAACGTATGATATTGCAACTGCAGCTGCTTTGTTCGAATAGGCAGCTCTGAATTCGAAGACGACTAATCCAATCATATTATCACATCGAAACGACAGTGACTACAGCCTTCCTTTACCATCCGAATTATGGCCTCCAGTCAAATCGATCGCATTTCGCGGGAAGTGCAATCAGCCTGATATAGGTTGCACCTTCACTGTATTTAGTTTTGGACATTCCTCCTTTTGCTCAAGTTCACTGCCCTTCAAGAATAAAATGGCTCCTCACGAGGTGACCAACGTATATCTGAAGTGTACAACCTACTCCGCATCTACGCACCAGTGCATCCTCGTGACGGGTGCAGCCGGT